CATGGCTCAGCTGTGAGTGCCGAGCCAGCTCCTAGCAACACCCCCGGCGAGGCCGTTTCAGGCCGGTTCCCGGCTGTCAGGGGCTGCATTTCCCTCCCTCGCCTATTTAGTCTTGCCTTTCATGCCTGGAAAATGTGGGCATTAGATAACATGAAACAGCACACAGCACAGTACTCCAGAACTTCTTATGTAACTAGCTCTTCCACTGTTTTACCATCAGGCCTGCCTTGAGGACCTGTGGAGAAGAGCCCCTTTCCCAAGCACCACGCATTAGCACCCCAACGCCAGCAAATTAAGTCTGACACCTGACTCAGATCACAGACCTCTAGCAGCAGCGGAGCAGGACGCCACAGGCAGGCCTTGAACCCTTACACCACCTGACCCCTCGCTTTCCCCACATGCTGCCAATGGCACCAGCTGGTGCCCAGCCCACACTAGAACCTGGACTAAGCCCAGTAGAGCTTTTTCAAGCTACTAACGAACTGAGTCCAAAATTCTCCTATCAGAGATCAAGGTCGGGGCGACAACAAAGAGCACATGGGCTGTAGGTTGCACATCCCTCAGCTAATTTGTGGGGGTCCCATCCAACCCTGCAGGGCAAGTGACAGATGGGGCAGTGAGGCCGAGGCTGGGGGCCAAGAAGTAGTGATTGAAGGATCCTAACCTTACTCCCCTCCTACTCCCGAAACCCACACCCCTTGTTCTTCTGCATTCCGCGCCAATGCCCATCCAAGGACGGCGTCTGCCGCGGGGCTGTTCCTCACAAACCGTCCCAACTCCTCAGATGACGTTTAAGGACCCAGGTCTACCGGTGATCATCCAGGCAGAGGGCTTCTCTCCGCCCTACAACCTTCACCCCGTCGGCTGAAGCCTTGTCAGCCCAAGGGGGACACACGACAATTTATGCTTTTTCGTTCTCTGAGCTTTGGGGTAGCAGAGATGGGAAAATAGGCAGGAGTAACTTCTTTTCAAATAGTTTTCAAAAAATTCATTCTGGGGTAGGGATGCGAGGGAGGCCGACAGAATGAGTCTTCACACAGGTTTTGTAAGTCATTGCAAAGTATTTTTCTACGCTATCCCTTGAGAAACGGGCGATTCTCAACTTGGAGATGAGCTGTTGCCGCAGAAGGTGCGATGGCTCACTTTTAAAATGTTCTTGTGTTTATTTTCAGTTCTCAGCACAGAATGTTCTGTCAGGCGAGGTCAATTAAGAGCCACTGAAAGACAGTTACGGCTGAGCTGGATCAGAGGACTTGGTTAAATACAGAGAAATGGTGGCTTCAACCATCAAGTTATTCTGCTTCCAGCCAAGTCAAATCTATAAGTCTCAGTTTTCTTCTGAAAGCTCAATACTTCGATGAGGAGGTAAGGAGGAAATAGAATTTCAACCCGCAACACGCGTGCCCAACCTCCACACGAAGGCCTGCTGTGGAATTCCTCAGGCTGACACAACCCGCACGCCCACGCACAGCATCCACGCGACCGAGGCGCGGGGGGTACCCGGGGCTGGGAATAAATGCTTTATTCTGAATCACCATGTGGGAAACAAACTCGAGATTCGGAATCCTCGTTACAAAATCTGTCATTCCTGACTGGTGTCTCGTAACCAAAATGAAGTTATTTTCCATGTTTGTAAAGCTCCTACTGTGTTTTGTTCCAAGCACTGTTAAAACATAAGGAACCCGTAAAAGGGCACACAGGTTGATATGCCAATAAAACAGTCACATCGGTGAAAAACTCTCATGCCCCGAATGTCCATGGTTCTAATTATTTGGTAATAATGTAAAGAAATTGTTTAGATATTTGATTTGTAAAATCCACTGTTAAGACTTTCAAGACTGGCTCTTTTTACATGAGAATTAAGAGGCAAGATGCTCAAGTCCTTTGCTGCAATGTAACAAAATATATTGTCCGAAAAATTGTGTGTTCCCTAGGAGGAGCTGAAAGGCAAGCGAAGGCAACACCGAGAGCAGGCAGGGAGGAAAGCGGGGCTCCGAGACGCATCCAGAGAACAAGGAGCCAGCCGGCTGCACCTCGCAGCGCCCACCTGCAGCAGCGCCCACCTGCCGGGGAAGGCAGGCCAAGTTCCACACTGGGCTACCCTGTGAGTCCCGCCCCCCATTATTTCTACAATTTAAATTTCTTTTCCCCAGACTTTTTTTTTTTTCCCTGAAGCATGAAACTAAAAGAGGATCCTATCTGCTTCACTGTTTTGTTCCCCAACCCCAATCACAATGCCCAGCATATAATAGGTGCTGCAACGTTGCTTAACTGAAAATCTCTCCACCTGGGGCATCTCTGGGCCAAGTCTACGTGGTTTGTCTTTAGTGTTATCCCCACAATCAAAACCTTCCCTCATGGAAAAAAAATGGCTTAGCAAATATTTCTGTCTTCATGAAAACATAAGACAATGGAAGACTTCAACCTATATTAAAGGGGTTTTAAGTACCACTGAACAGGCATGAAGAGAAATTTTGAGAAATGAGAAACAGTTCTCACTCCCCAGAAATTATCATCTTGGTGGTGACAGGCCTCTCCTATGAGCCCCATTTGACAGATGAACAAAAGGCGGCCGAGAAAAACATTTTCCTGAGGTCTTTCCCTCCTACAGCCTTCGTGGCAGATACAATTAACTCCCAACAATCCTGTTCCAGCTCAGTCAGGTTCAACTGGAGACAGCTCTAGAGTGAAGAGCCTTGGCCTTCACTTAGTGTCCCGAGAAGATAGATGGAAACTGGGAGACTTGACAGTACACTGCCCTGCTTTTGGTCTGTGAGTTTATATTTCCATAATTGGGCCCAAGAAAATGTATTAGATGACAACCTCCTACCCACAGAGAACCTTGAGTGACTGGTTGGGGGAAAAAGGCTTTGGGCACGTTCACAGAAAGCTTGAGTCTTGGCCCTGGGAGGCCACACTGAGACCACAGGAAATGGGCCTGCACCTGCCCCCCTCTGGCAGGGCAGTGTCCCAGTGCACCCAGGTGGGGATCCCCACAGCTCACAGCCGCCCGGAAGCCCGGGCCTGGCTGTCAGTACTCCAGGCCAGGGCGATCCTCCTACTCTTTCCTAGAAACCAGATGCTGATGGGATCACAGAGCCGCAGCCACTTCCTTTTTGGGGGAACAAATCTTTTTATTTCACAACTGGTAGACTTAATATGCAAAGTCCCAGCTAAGCAATTCATGGTGATGCCTAATTACCTACCTCGAATTCTTTTCTTTTCTTTTTTTCCCATTGATATGCTCAATTTTCTATTATTCCCCAGATACAGATTTCTGGATTAATTCTGACTTTTTCAGTCAAAAAAAGTAGTTAGTTATCTCCAGAAACACTGACTTTATCAACCTTCATAGTAGCATTGCCTTGATCTAGTACAACGACCAGAATGTTCTTTACATTTCCACTGCTTTGAAATTAAGTCCGGAATAATTACCTAGACATGAGACTTCCCAATGACTCACATGCTTATAAAAAGGACTTTAAGTTCATGTGTATAACATAACCCAGATATAATTCTCTAGGAAGAGAATTCCTATTTCATTTATTTATTTACTTTCTGCAAACAATTTTAGAGGCAGGGTGTTAAACTGATTGAAATTTCACAAGATTGACATTATTGCTTAAAGTGCTTGAATTGGTTACATTTTAAAAAATTAAGGTACAGATTACTTTAAATAAAAACTAATTTTTTTTTTTTTTTTTGCAACAAAGTCATATGAATGCCACACACATAGAGTAACTATTTTGGTTACACAGAAATGGAAGCCAAAAATAAATTTATGTAATACTGGAAAACAGAAATTTACTTAGGCAGAAAAGTAGGAAGTGATTTTCCCTGACCCATGCCATCTACATGAGTGAATCACAACAGCGCTGATAAATGCCCTCACCATAGGATAGCAAACAAGGGCAGAACATTTAGTGCACAATATTTTAATACACGTGACTATACAAAGTTGATCAAAATGCAATGTTTAAAGATAAAATCCATCTGTAATAAAGCTACACTCCAATATCGAAAATAAGCCCTAAGCTCCAGTTAGAACATAGTTCAGTGTTAGGCATGCCCATGAAAGTAGGGTATCCATGAAAATAAACGCCTAGGGACCATTTCTGTCATTTCTTTCCCCATTTCATCTGAAATCCAAAATATACCTGGCTATAAAACCAACTGGCTTCCTATCCTAACCAACACCCTCTTGTGTTGCTCCTTGGCTCCCTTCAGACCAGGCCACTTCGTACGGCCCAGAATGGAAAATGCATGAACGTGCCAGAACCGACGTCAGCATTTTACCAAAATTTACCTTTAAACGACTTTTCAGCATACTGTACCATAATCTAGATACTAAGCTAGTAAGTAACCAATGAAGCAACTATTTCTTCTCTTTTCAAGTGTAAAACACTGTGACTTATTTTAAAACACCCAGCAGTTAAAAAAAATATAGCAGGCCTTACTCCTGCCAGAAAATGACACACAAACCCTGGCCATTGAGGGGACTGAGCCTTTGTGCTGTCGTTGACCTCTGAAGGGTCTCACATATCTCTGCTTTGCATGGTGAATGAGGGATGAAAAATTAAAAAAACTGTTTGCTACTGTCTTTATATAACGTGAAGCGATGGGGGGTGGGAATGTTAGCTGCCTAGTGTTTGTTTCATTAATTGAAGAGGAAAGGGGAAGAAACTACCAGATAGTTCTAATATTTAGAAACCGATGGAATGTTTCAGCCTTCTTCCAATCTTCTTTTCCTGCATCACATGGCCACTTCAAAGTCTCTGCATTATCTCCCATACTTATTTTTTTATTCCAAAAATCTATCCATGAATACAGAATTTTAATGGACCTTTTCTATTAAAAGAAATTACTTCAGTTAAGTCACTGGGAAAAAACTCTTTATACATCAATAAAAAAAGGTACTGAATCTATGACTTTGCATTTAGATATTACTTATACAGGCTTCCAAATGAAACATTGTTTTTCTAATAAATTAGCTTCAAGAGTCATTTCAAAGATAATTTTAATAGTTTTTCTTATGAATCAGTTCCAAATATATTAGATATCAACCATCATTTTTTTAAACTTCGCAACCTGCAGTCAAATATATGGGTTATATATAGTACAAACAGTTCCCTATATGAATCACCTTCAACTGGAAAGTGTCTCTCCTTAAAAACAGAATAAAAACTCACCTTCCCGGTAAGTGATTACTGCATATGTTTCATGGAGGAAAAAACAGACAAAATATTTATAAATATGAATTTGCCTCTAAACAAGGCAAGGTATACTTTTGTCACTCGTATAAAACAATAACGTGAAGATCACCCTGTTTTGTCTTCTCCAGTGAAAAGGAAAACATTTCACTCCAAGCATGAACAAGTGAAGTGTTGGCATGCTTATTAAGTTCTGAGCAATAAACAGTTCACGATATTTCAAAGATAAGAAATCCAGTTTTCATCTAGGTAAAGTGCTATGCTCTTAATCGTTGCAAAATGGCCACTAACATTTTCAACTTCCATTTTAGTTCACATTATGCCAAACGTTTGTATGTTCGTTCGCTGATTTATTAGGTAACAAAATTATGTGTTCACAGTATATTATAGTGTATGGAAGTCAACAGACTTCCCAAAGGAAGGTCTATGACTCACGGTATTTGTAGGAAACCAAAAACCAGCTCAACGGCAAAACACCACATCGACCCTTTTAATAAAAGGTACCAATACTCAAATGATCTAATAAATACATATATAACAAAAGTGGGAAAAAAGGTAACTAGGGTGAGATGAGGTTCTTCCAAAAAACTCCGTCTTGTCAAGCATTCTAGGAGCCTGAGCCAAAGAAACGCCGCCGTTTTGCTCATTCCTTCACCTGCCCATTGACACTTCCTCTGACCCACCTTCACGCCCAGGTAACTCGGGTCTTCCTCTAGGGAAGGTTCTGGGTTAGCCCGGGGGCTCGCCAGTGCCTCCGAACAGACTGAACTGCTTCAACGTGAACAGCTGCACAACGCGGCCGATGGCAGCGGAGGGCAGGGCCTTCGCTCTTCTGCGTCCAGAATGATGTTGGTACTGACTGGCGAGGGAGCGCTGTGCTGGAGGCAGTCGCCTGGTGTCCCAGCCCTGAGACCACAGGCTGCAGAACACCAGGTCGGGGAAGATACCCTGGAAAGCTTAGCAGTGCCAGATAGAGGATAGATACAACTCACAGGACCATACAGAAGAAAGTGTCACTAAAAACAAACAGCAAAGTTATTTTCCTGAAACATGGTTTTGGTAGAAAGATAAAAGTAACTCTTCACTCCCCGCGAAAGCTTCCTCCTCTTGGCTGTGCCTGCCCTGAGCTCCCTGCCTTCTTTGCCCTGGGGAAGTCCAGCGGCCAGGTGAGCACAACCCGGGGCCCATGCTACCACCAACAGCTCTTCACCCTGTTCCACCTGGAGGATGACTTTAGTATCTGAGGTTACTCACCTTGAAACAATTTCACCTGCACACACTTAAAGCTATAGTTGCAGCCCTCAACGTGACCACCTACCCAATTCTTCTGTCCTTCTGTTAGATAAGAGCAGAGAAGCTGGAAATGGGTAGCAATGTTTCCAGGGACCAGTGAAAGGAATGCATTGAAAGGAGACCCTGGAAACCATTTAGGAAGCTTAGCAAAGACCCAAAATAGACTGCAGACATTCTAGGAAATGTCATTCTAATTCAGCCGGAAATAGCCAGTGGTATAACATTTACCCAATCCTAAAATTAGCAACTGTTATTCATATAAATCTTACTACAATCTGATTGCAGTTAACTCTACCTCAGACTAAAATAAAACCACGAATAGTGCTGCGTGTATAAAAAACAAAGAGAGAGAGTTTATCACAGCCAGACCACTGAGATTCAGAGTAATACCATTGGTGGGCCGCCGGGGAAGACGAAAGTCTGCACAGAACCCAGGTAATAGTGCTTTGAACATTCCCCCCACTTGAGTGAGTCCCACAGTTCTTTAACTTATTCTCTTGACTGATAGAATAAAATATATCCAGATTCCGAATTTTTTGATATATCCGACGTCAGGCCATAGAATTCTTCAATAGCTTGGGCATCTATTTTCTGCAATAAAAGAGAAGTAATATACTGTTTAACATGATTACTGCGAGGACAGAAAAACTAATGGAATGCACAAGAAAAGATGTAAGAAATGCTGCTGGCTATTAAATCACAACTGGGAGCTTTCCATGACATACGGACAATTCCACAGACTTGGCAGAAGGATATGATTATATGAACTGCAAATCTTTGGGGAAGAAAGCCACCCTTTAATCTATCAGCAGCCATACGTAGGCACTCTTTGAAGAAGCCAGGGCCGCTGTCTTTCAAATGGTAAACCGAGGGCCTAGGGAATCACCATGGTTCTTTCGCTGCCTTACGCTTTATCTTAATGGGCTAAACTAGACCATGTCTTTGAGTGTGCCATTCTCTCCAGCAACTACTCCTTTACAATAAAATCAACATGTGGAATACTCTGGTATAATATAAAGGTTTTCCAGGTCCAACAGACTGAACACTAAAGTTTTTAATGACCACCCGGCCGGGCATGGCTCAGCGGTTGAGCGTTGACCTAGGATCCAGGCGATCGGGGTTCGATTCCTGGTCAGGGCACATGCCCAGGTTGCGGGCTCGATCCCCAGTCGGGGCGTGAGGGAGGCAGCCGATCAATGACTCTCTCATCATTGATGTTTCTCTCTCTCTCTCTCCCTCTTCTTTCCTCTCTCTGAAATCAATAAAGATATATTTTTAAAAATAAATAAATAAAATTAAATAAATAAATAAAAAATAAAGTTTTTAATGACCAATACAAGAAAAATTTGGTATAATGCCCTAAAGATCCCATGCCTGTGGTTCATCAGTTAACAGGAGCACAGTATTAATGAGGCCATCCTCACACCCCTTCTCCCTTTCCACAGAGATTGGGAAGCAGCAGAATTTAGTTTTGAGAGGAATGTAAGTTGTTTTAAAGTCAGATTATGGGAAAACAGGCCTATTTTAGAAAATGTCCACACCTACACATTCCCCCAAATGCCATCCCGCCCCACCCCTGCTGTGGAACGCTCTGCATACCCACCTCTACAATGTCGTCATCAAACAGCAGCCAGAAGCCGTGACTTTTCACAATAGTAATATAATGCCCACGATTAGGACCGCTGGAAAAAAACAAAAAAAGAGAGTAACCGAGTTAACATTCACCGTTTTATAAAACTCCGCAAACAATCACTATACCTGCTACATGCCACATCCTATTCTGGCTGTCAGGGGAAAAAGCAGTGAACAAAACCAAGTCCCACTTTGACGGGGCCAGGGGTTGAACAGGGAGTAAACAAACTAAAATAGAAATGTATTTGCAGTGGTGGTAAGTGCCATGGAGAATAAAGCCGAGTAGTGGCATGGTGAGCGCAGGGGGAAGGTATTGGATACACGGTGAAGACAGGAGGCCTCCCTGATAACATGAGATCTGAGCAGAAGAAAATTTCCCTGAAGGAAATGGCTGGGGGGACAAGCCATGGGACTATTAGATGGAAGTTTCGGGAATAGGGAATAGCAAGGGCAAAGGTCTTAGGGGGTACAGTTCTTGCCGTGTTCACAGAACAGCAAGGAGGCCAGAGAGGGATGGAGTATCCTGGTTAAGATTCTGGACTTTGCTGTGAGTGAGCCAGCAAGACGCCAGGAAATTCTGAGTGACATGATCTAAGTTTCAGAAAGACGTTAATAAACCATAATGTATAACAACAAGCATATATTACACAGTAAGGAAAAAAGGGCAAAGAACTCAACAGCTGTAACTATGTAGTTAGACTTGCACAAATGAGAAGACTTTAATCCAAAATTCAGAGTTTTGTTTTGTTTTTTCACTACACCATTAAAGCTGAAGAGTGGATTTCCCTTTTTTTCACTTTCTTTAAATACAAGATGACCCACACGAATGGTTCCCGCCTCTCCCCAACCTCCCCCTGAGCTGCAGCCCGCTGGTCTCTGGTTTTCACACACATCGGGCTTCACGTGCTGGGCTGCGCACTCGCTCTAACTGCCTGCAACAATCCTCCCCCAATGTTCGCTTTCTTGGCCCACGTTATCCTGAGGACTCAGCTAAAACGTCACCTCGATCGCCTTCTCTGAAGAGACACCTCCCCTTGCGCTCTCTCGTCGCCCTGTTCGTTCCTCATAGCACAGATCAGAATCGTAAATGATTCTGCAGCGGTCTGTCTGTCTGGGCCGCGGCAGGCTGCTGTGTCCGCGCGTTAGCTCCCTTTCCCACTAGAGCCTCGGCTAAGTGAGGGCAGGGCCCGTGCGTCTTGTTCTCGCTGTTCCTTCGGGTCCTGCCCCGGAACAGGGAACAAGGGCCCCAAAGCGCAGCAGAGATCAGTGAATGAGGCTGTGTGCCCACTGCCACCGTGAGCCAGGAGGTCCTGGCACAGAGAAGCTAGGGCTCAGCTCCCTAACTTCACAGCTTTCCACAATCCCAGCCAGCCCGGCTCCATGTATCAGGACAACTGTGCCTCTGGCGGGAGGAATTGAAAGAATCCTAGTGAACAGCGCGCGTGGCTCGGCACCCATTCCTCCGTGCCGCCGGGCTGCTCCGACCGCGTGCTCCTGAACCCAGCCTCCCGCTCGTCCCCGTCTCAGCAGGTCTCTGCCTTGTCCTCTCCAGTGCTCCCAGGGCTGAGTCAGCACGCACAGAGATCCATACTGAAAGCCCACGCACACCCTACAAAGGTGAGTGCTTCTGTTTCCCCATCACCTGCCCACACCGCCCGCCTTGGCCACGATGCCCTCTGGGTACCAGGCTCTGCCTTCCCAAAACCTCTCCCTCCCAACTCCTGCCGGGCCCCGCCCAGCTTCCAGATCACTGGACCCGAGTTCTTTAAAAGAATAACTGTTAGAACTATTCTTCAGGGAAAACACAGGGCTGGCTTATAGCTTTCAGATAAATATAACTTATTGAGAATATAAAATATCCAGTGGCTTAAAGTTTTTAATATGCACAGGACAAAACAGGGGTGCTTCAGATGTGAAGGTACAGTTCCTGACACCATCCACCCCAGTACAGGGTTAAAAATACATCATTCCTCCACGTGGAACTGTGCACCTTCCGGTAATGGTCCGTTCACCACAACCCGATCCAGGCAGGTAGAGAGGAAAAGACACCTGCCCTGTGGCATGTCCCAGTCTAAAACCTGTGAGGGCAGGACAAGCTGTGCCCACCTCAGGAAGAGAAAACACACCCGACCCCAGCTCAGCAAACGAAAACAAGAGGTGAATTCCCAATAGACTTTTCCATGCTTAGACGTTTCCAAATTATGGAATAAAAAGTATTTGATCAAAGGACTTTCAGCAAAATACTTTGCTCTTCCATACCCAGGGGCCTCCTCTCTTACTCTCTCCTTTCTGATTATGTACTTCTTTTTTTAAAGATTTTGCTCTGTTTTCTCTTTCTTTAATAGCTTATTGATTTTTACAGAGAGAGGGAGAGGAGGAGAGAGAAACATCAATGTGAGAGGGAAACGTCTATCAGCTGACTCCTGCACAGGGCGCCCCTACCAGGGGATGGAGCCCACAAGACGGGCATGTGCCCTGACTGGGAATCAAACTGGCAACCTCCTGGTGCACGGGATGACACCCAACCAAGTGAGCCACACCAGCCAGGGTCTGATTAGGTACTTTCTATAGAATGCTGGGCAAAGGCTGAAAAATGCATAAAGAATATTTTTTAAGAGTACATTTTCAATCATTCAAAATGCCAAAAAATCATTAATTCTGATCTACTGCTTCCACTCTTTATTCATATATTTTAAAATACTTCTGAAATCACATAATATGTAACCTGGTTTTTTAAACATTAAAGTCATAGCATAAGCATTTATGCCTTCATGGTTATTTCCAACTCCTGCCAAGCATCATTTATAACCAATGGAGATTTATTATTTCCCTTACACTAAAACATTTACATTATCTTATTATAATTTTATTTTATTTCATTTTATGTGTATGTAGGTATGTTTATATTTATTTTAGATTATACATAAACCAAAACTTGGAAGAGATTCCCAAAAGTCCCACTGGTAGAGCCTCACAGCTCAGGGAAGGCCCAGCTGGGCCTACTTCGGCACAGGGATGACCCTCACACTTCCCACATGCACCCCGCTGCCTGCCAGCCCTTACCTGCCACAGTGCACCACCACGGCGACCAGGTCGTACATGCGGTCCAGGTTCACGGCATCGCTGGAGGTGTTGAAGAGCCGCAGTTCCAACGGGAAGACCACCCGGTAAGAGAGCTTGGTGTACCTGTGGAGCTGCTCCATGTACTTGAATCGCTTTAGGTGCAGGGCCAAAATCATGGGCAGCTTTTTTACTCTCATCCTAAGGAACAGTGGAATAGAAAATCAGTTGTACCCAATCCCTGTTAGGGGAACAGAATCCACTGTTACCTGAACAAATGAAGAGCAGGAGGGGTCTCACCAACTACAAATGACCAAACTGCTCACAAGAATAAAAGTCTGCTCACTTATGTAGAGCTGACTCACCCCACATCCTTGGCTAACTGCAGCGCAGTCAGCCAGAGGAAACAGCAACAGTGGGTCTCCGTTCGGTCAAAGGAGACATTCCAGAATTTCTGCACCAATAAAAATAGGATGTGCGATTGTCCTGTCACTGCCCTCCCAGGGAGGAACAGTATTTGGACAATCCTCTCCCCTACCTCTTCCTGAAATCATGGAGAGGAGAGGTGACAGCCTTTGAGAAAAGGAAGTAGGGGAGAAAACAAGCAAAAGGCTGTGGTCTGGACTTCCAGGTTCTGAGGAACAACGGGGGTGTTCAGACACTGCAAGCCACTGGCATCAGGAAACCAAATAGGCTAGGCTCACTTCCACTTTTTTTGTGCTCTTGGGCAAGTCATTTCCCTTCTCTGGCTCTCAGTTTCTTGTTTATAAAATGCAGGTGTTGGCTCGGGGCTCCATTTCCCACACTGGGCTCACCAGCACACGATGCTAGCAGATGCAGGGTTTCTGCAACCCAGCTTGGACACTGCTACTTTCTGGTTTGAAGCTACCCCTGCCCCTCAGCACACTGGTTTTGAGAAATCCGCAGCAAAGGAACTGTTCTCTGTTGTCTGATGCTCCGTTCCCCAAACTTACACAAACACAGAAAGCTTTTTTCACTAGAGGGCCATTAATATTCCCTGGTAGAAAGGCACAAAGACAACGGTCTACGCAGTTCACACCGCTAGAATAGGGAATCTTCTAGTCCCCTCCCGGGACCCCCGTCTACAAGTGCCCTGAATTAGCGTACACTCTGCTCAGCTTGTGCACATTTTCAATGCATATTATCTGAAAAGGACACATTTTAAGAGACTGTTACTCAGAAATCTATTAAGGTAAAACCCTGTTCATAAAAAATAAGCAAAATAACAGCAGCAGAAACATATGAACTACGGGGAACCCCCTATTTTATGGGAGCACATGACATTTTAATGTATAAGACCTCCAGGGCTGAAGAGAAAACACCTTCATGCCACATAGGAAGGCCTGGGCTGCCTCAGGCAGACTTAGAGTATTTGGATGGGAACAGAGGCCAGGAGCTTCCCTGACCACTGATGAGACGAGTACCTTCCACCTCCGCTCCGCCTGCCACAATGACTAACCTTCCGTCAGTTTAGATGCAGCAAGGGCTGGGAGGCTGGGCAGAGAAACTATTTCACCCCCAGCTGTAGAACCCCGAGGGTTTAGATGGCAGTAATGAGCACTGATGAGTTACCGTGAACATCCCACAACCCTGGGCCAGGTAAATTTAACTCACAGTGAGACTTCACAGGATAACTAAAATGTCAAGTTTCTTGGCTTCTGGGGGAAAGTAACAAGGAAGGACTGGTTTTCTCAGATTGTCTGAGAGCTGTAACTGGCTGGTGTTGGTAAAAAGATGGGCAACCTTGGGCCCTATATCAATTCAGGATGTGATAACTTTCTTATCAGCTATCAATATAACTGATGTGTTACTGACTACCTCATGATTCCTTATTAGATAATTACTTTTTTAACCCCATATCTTCTAAATCAGTTGTGCCCTCACCAGGTGGCTCAGTTGGTCAGAGCGCCATCCAGTACATCAAAAGGCTGTGGGTTCAATTCTCAGTCAGGGCACATGCCTAGGTTGTGGGTTCTATCTCTGGTCGGGGTGCATACGGTAGGCAGCCAATCGATGTTTGTTTCTCACATCCAAGTTTCTCTCTCTCTAAAATCACTAAACATATCCTCAAGTGAGGATTAAAAGAAAGAGAGAAGCTCCGATGTCTGGGCAATACTAACAACGTTACTGGGCAGCAACTGTGTGTTATGCACTATGCTAAGTCGCCTTTAACCCCAGGACAGCAGTGATTATATCTGACCACCACCTGTTTACCCAGCATGCTATCAGGCACACAGTAGCACTCAATAAATATTTAATGAATGAATGCATGAATGAACAAATGGGCAAATAATCAGACGAACGGACAACTCTCCAAGGTAGGCATTCCTATCCTAGTTTTTACCCATGAGGGCAGTTAACTGACTTCTCCAAAGCTACTTGGCTATGAGCCACGGAACTAGGATTCAAAATCACTAATCTGGCCCTGGCCGGTTTGACTCAGTGGTTAGAGTGTTGGCCCGCAGACTGAGCATCGGCCTCAGTTCAATTCTAGCCAAGGGCACATACCTCCATGGCAGCTAGATCCCCACCCGGGTTTCTGTCGGCCAGGGAGGGATGGCTGGAAATGCAGGCACCCTCTTAAAGAGCCAAGGCACAAAGTTTCAGGTGCAGCCACTCACCTTGGGCTCCAGCAGAGGGAGGGCAGAGTGGACTGGAGCTGTGTCAGGAGAATCTAGGGTTGTGGGCTCTGGAGATAGGGCTCAGAGGGCACCCCTCTGGATTCCTGTGCCGGGTCTTTCCCCCATACAGCAGAAGACATCTTTCACAGGCAGACATTTACCTTCCAAGCAGCTTTTGCCTGAGGGGGAAGCAATCGCCCCACCCTTCTGGAAAACCTCTGGCCCTACACCATGGAGTTTCTACAGCCTGAGGCTCATTAAGAGAATCAGATTAATCAGCCTGCAGGCAGAGGCAACCCCAATCGATGTCTCTCTCACATTGATGTTTCTCTCTCTCTCTCTTCCACTCTCTCTCCGAAAAGCAATGGAAAAAACATCCTTGGGTAAGGATTAAAAAAAAAAAAAAAATCAGACCTGGCTGGCTCCACAGGCTGGTTCCCCCTCAAGACACAAAGCCACCGCCTTGAGCTAAATCCTTTACACACCTTTTCTGGGCCTCCTGTTTGCTGCAGCACGTTTCGCAGTAATATTTCTGTTCACTACACAGTGTTTCTGTGTTGCTGAAGTCTCTGCAGAGAAAAATATTTACAACTTAAAAAGAAGTCCAAACTGTGCTTGGTACACCATGTTTTAAACCCTCTACCACCTGTAAGGTAAATTTTAAGTGAGTGTGGGGAGAGAGGTAATGAGAAAAGATCCTTAAGAGCAGGTGCTATTATGCCATTGGCGCATGTCCACTGGTCTGGACTGTGTTATCACCACGAGAGATTTTCAGGTACAGCTTTATTTAATGGGACACAGATAGATGTTTCCAACTGATTCAGAAAAAACTCAGGGTTTAACACAGAATACCTGTTAACTGGAGATATAAATTATAAAAGAAAAATACTAACTACAGTAAAAGACCACTGTAAAGTTGAGTCCAAAAAAGTCAATCACATAAAATGCAAGGTGGCATTACTCTACGTATGTACATATTGTACAGTATGTCCCAGGCGGTCTCTATTTTCCCAGAGCACAAAAGTAAAGATAATGAACTTTAAACCATATACAAGTAGCCTTATACTGAACCAAGAAAGTCCCAAATGATCAGGAAATGACTGCCTCCTCCCCACTCCCTGCACTTCCACTCCCCACACCCCAGATGACATGAACTTTAGCCTGCCTTCTTTTCAGAACAAATACCACTGTGGTGTTATGTCTGTATTCGACTTATCGCCTACTCATACTTTCACTTTTTAAATGTCATGGATCTTCATGCCTTCCTGGTCACTGAGACTCTAGTTAACATTCCTGTGATGCTACTTCAAAGGCTGAAGGAATACTCAGAAAGTAACAACACCCCAAGTCTTGAAAAGTTCTGCGACATTTCCTTATACACGGGGTGCCCTAGCACCAGAACGATCACATTTTATTAAATTGAAAATGTTATTTATTATTCACATGGTGTGAAGGGCTCAACTACTTAAACAGAGCTTATCAAAAGCACACACGAATTGTTTGTTCAATAAATCCCCAAATGGCTTCCAATAGCACTTGGGACTGGATGCTGGAGATTTGCAGAGAGCTCCTCACACAGCCCAGCTGACCAGACACACACGCACGTGAGCCGTGTACATTTAGTGCTTAGCGCAGGTTAGACATAAGTCACCCTACATCGCTGAGGCCCCTGCCTAAGACTCTCCCACAGCTCCTCGATGCACTTGCAAATAAAATCCAAATTCCTTGCCACAGCGGACAGGCAAGCCATCTTCAGACCCCTGACTGCTCTCTGACCTCATCTCCTACCCTGCCCCCCCTCCCTTCCCACTGCTCCAACCACACAGGCCAGCCTGCTCCTGTAGCTCGAGTTCAACGCTCTCCCTGCCTCAGGGCACTTACAGGTGTTGGTTTCTCTGCACTGACAGCTCCTTTCCAGATGCTTCCGTGCTGGCCTCACTCATTCAGAGCTCAGTGTAAATGTCACCTCTTTCGAGAAGACTTCCCTGTCCACTCTCTCCAAAACTACCAAGCCCCTATCGTGCTGTCTGGTTTTCTTCCAAGCACTCACCGCTACCGGAAACCATCCTCCTATTCATTTATTACTTGCCTTCCCTCTATGTGGACAGTGACCCTGTCCCTCTCTCTCACTCTTACAGCCCCAGCACTGAGAACAGGCCTAACACATCGCAGCACTCAACCGTATGTGTTGGCTGACGAATGAATGAAGACAGAGGCATGTATATGGAGTCCAGGGGGAAGCATGGGGGAAGGAGAAATGAACTTGAACTGGGGTAGGGTAATTCAGGACGTTTCCCCAAGGGGTGATTTCCGAGTCAGGCTGTCAGAGGGAAAGTGTGTCAGGGGGATAGAGTCAAGGACTGCAGATGGAGGGATGCCGCAGCAGAGTCATGGAGGCATGCACGACTACACTTCTTAGAAGCTGGGGTGGACCCTGCGGCTCTGGGGTCCCGCTAACCAGTCTCAGCAAGGAAAAGGCATAATCAGACAGTGCTTTTTTAAAAAACCCACTTCTGGTAGCACCACAGAGGAAGAACTGGAGGGGGTCAAAAGGCAAGGAAACAATTTAGAAGGCAATTATACTCCATGCCTGGATTTCAAGTGCTTGGTGTGTAATATAGTCTCAAGTTTAGCAGCATGAATATGGGCTGACTCTTTAGGGAGGGAACTGACGTGAAAACAGTTCTTGGCCTGCACAGAATTATTGGGTGGAATGAGGCGGGGCCAGGAAGGGGGAGAGGTGAGTATGAGTAAAGGTGGAGTTTCACACCCTTGGTACGTCTACCGAAGACAAGCCTCTTTATTCAGCTGAAGAACCAGAATAACCAAGGCAAGCAGAGCAATGAACAGGAACTAACACTTTCTACCTACTTTTATTTCTCAAAGACAGTGTCTTGAAGCATCTGTAGACCCAGGTAGGTAGAAATATAGCAGAAGTTAGTAGCTAATTTAAGGACCCAATTTACAAATACCCACCAGCCTGCCCAGCCCCAGCTGCCTGGAATCTTGTTGCCATGAGGGACAGGCTGATGCTCTTAGGGGGCCTGTGAGTTGAGAAGTGGAAAGTAAGGCTAGGTTAGGAAAGGATGATGACCCCGGGAGGAAATCCTGCAGCAGACCAGGTCTGTCAGGTGCTATTGTATAACTGCTGGAACAAAAGCAGGCAACAAAGGTGAGGAAACTTCTCAATAAGAAAGTCAGAGGGGAAGGAGAGAGTAAAGACCGCCTTTCCAACACTCAGGACAAATTACTAAAGCAGAGAAGAGCTTAGAGAAAAAGCACAAAGCTCTTTGTATTTCTTTCAAAAGAGTCACAGTGGCAATAAAGAACTATTAAAAAATATACTTTGGAAACAAATCTAACATAAAATGCACACCTATATAAAGAAAGGAAACTATAAAACCTTATGGAAATGCATAAAAGAAAATGTGAAAAAATGGAGAAAGACTGTGTTCATGGATAGGAAGGTTATGTACTGTAAACACAGCTATCATGTACAAGTTAATGTCTATATCTGATACATTTTTAAATTAAAATCTTAACTTTTCCACTCAACACAATAGTTCAGAAATTGATTTTTAAAAAATTCTCAAACAGTGATTCCTAATAGTTTTCATGTCATGACCTACACAGAAAATGGTACTTCAGAGAGGAGCTGTGGTAAGCTGATGTGGCTGCTCTGATGGCACTGCCCAGCCACCAAAGAGCAAAGCGGATTAACACACACCTGTTTTCCATGGCACACGAGTTGGGAAACTTTGTTCTAGAATCTACAGCAGTGATCCTCCTGGCTGTTCATTACAATCACCTGGGGAACTTTAAAAACAATCTCCATCTCTGTCACACCCCGATCAATTATGTCAGAATCTCTCTAGGTAGAACCCAGGCATTCTTGTTCTCAAAGCTTCCCAGGTGGTTCCAACATACTGCTCTGCAAACATTCACATGCATTTGAACCTCCTACAGATCTTGTCCAAATGCAGATTCTGATTCATTCATTCATTCCTGAGGGACACCTGAGATGCTGCAGTGCTAATGAGATGCCAGGTGATGTCAATAGTGCTAGTCCACGAACCCCTGTTTGAGTGGCAAAGATCTAGAGCAGTGGTTCTTAAACTTTGGTGTATCAGAATCACCAGGGAATTAATTAAAAATAGAGGCCCTGGATCACCAAACTTGAATATGGCCTGGCCCTTGAATTTTACCAACCTCCCCAGGTGATTCTGATGGACAACAAAGTTCAAAAACCACTGACTAAAATATCAAAAAAGATTAAAAAAAGAAATCCACGAGAAAGACTTATGTGTAAAGGTATTAGAAAATACTATATAACCACCACCAAAACCAAAACACAGATCAGAAAAACTAAGAGGCAAGCGTGTGGCAATGGAAGTGTGGTGGGAGGCATATGTACATAAAAGAAGTTTCTCAAATAAGTAGAAAAGAAATTTTTTTAAATATAAGATTAATTTTTAAAGTAGAGCTTTGGGAGAATTAAAAGGCTACTTTCCTCCTGATACCTGGCTGATCACCCAGCCCTGGGATAATGGGAATTTAAACAAGAGGAAGAGAGCGGAAGAGGAGGGAGGGACTACGGCACGAAAAGTAGAAGACCAAAAATACCAAAAAGGCCGTGTGAGGATAATTGAGATGAACTTCACGTATTTTTAGTTTTTGCCTGAGGCCATCCCTTAACTTTTCAAAAGAAGAAAAAAAAGCTTACTCAGTATCCTCCTGGGATACAGAGGACTCACCTTGCCTAAGACACAGTATGAAGATTTGAGATAACATAATTATAGCTCAGCGACAGCATGGATCCTGTATCCTGAATTTAACTACATTTTATATCATCATTTCTCTGGGACAAAAGTCCACTGAACACACATTGTAACTGATCAACGAAAACCTTTCTGGAAGGAGGTGGCAGAAATAGGACATTTAAATTCCACAATTTTAGCTTGATTTTTAACTTTTTTCGTCACCAAATGAAAGGTAAAAACATCACACACATCAGAAGGGATATGGAGATGTGATGTTACAGAAGAAACTTAAGAATTCTAATTTTAAAAACAAGCCAAAAATGCAAACCAAATTAAACCATGAAAAAGGCCAAAAAAGATCATCATTCCTCATCTTGTGTCTCACAGAAAAAGCTAAGGGGTCCATCCGCTGGCATTGTTTCCTCCCTGGGCCTTCCTCCTGAACATCCATCTTTCTCTTGGGAAGTTGGGAAGCTGCCGCCCCCATCCCAGAGCTCTTAGTGATCCATGACAACACCCAGCAGGAGGTGAGACCTTAGGCAGGCATGAGGGCAGGGACAGGTCAGTCAGTCAAGGTCTAGTTTAAGGATGATGTAAAGTGAGGACGGGCAGGCACTTCAGGATCAGCCTGGACAGTCCCATCAGATGAGAACCTCGCGTTGTTTCAAAGGTACTGAGGCCATTTCCTACTCACCCACCCCAGCATTAACATCTCCAAATGCCTCTAGCCTGCCTTCCTCAGGTATGCACGGCCAATATATACATTTCTCCAGAAAAACAAAAAAAGAACACATATCTGGGTTATGTTTCTTTATAACAAGGTTCCCAAAGGTTGAAATTTTAATGAACCATTAGCCCTGTACCTGATTGTCCTCAAAGCTAAGGCCACTGCCATCTGCCCTTTTGAACAGCCCAGAAAATACTGAGAAGGAAGGAGGAGCAGTCAACCTATCTCCAAACTCTCCCTAACTCTACCCTTCTCAAAGAAGGGGCGTGGACAAATATCTTTCCTCCCATCCCCTCATCTGCGACTAACGTTAGCACAACCTCAACCACTTCTATCACGAGAGCATAAAACACTGGGGAAGTAAAAACTGGCTTCTTTTCACAAGAAGATTAAAAACCCATTCCATAAATGGGACCATTCAGAGGAAAAAGAGGCCTTTCTGGCCTACAAAACACTCTGCAAACAGAGACAACAAACTTGTCCTAGACCCCTAGACCTAAGGCATTTGGAGACAGGGCTCATGTGTGAAACCAACAGGAACGCTGAGGTAATCATCAGCACAGTGTTGGGGGGCGGTGGGGGGGGTCAGACCCCTGGGGGATGGGAGAGCAATCTGCCCCCAGCTCACGCAGTACATTACACCCAGATGAACCAAGCTCTTCCACGCTGCAGCTGGCGCCTTCGCCCTGCAAGGTGACTTTCTTACAGTCACCGCCACAGCAGTCTCTTTAACCTACATCTAAAATGTTCCAAGTCACCTGCGCTCCTGAAAGAGCAACTCTGTCACCCTCCTCCCACTGATAAACATCAGCAGAGCCTCGCCAGGACACCGTAAGGCGTCTCTGAGCTGCAGTGCCCTGAGCAATGGGAGACCCACCTGACCGGCTGGTTGTCTACACTGGCCCCCTCACTCTCTAGACCTGTTTCATTTCCTCAAAGCCCCGATCACTGCCTGTGGACCCCGCCGGAAGGTAAGCAGGCGAGATACGTGTCTGGTGCTCGCTCCTCTACTTCCAGTGTCCAGAACCGGGCCCAGCTAATTAGAAGCACTCACAACCTCTTGCTGTAAAGCAGAGAATAAAGAGGTGAGGCGGGGGAAAAAGGAAACCGTGTCTTTGTATCAATTTTGAGCACAGTTTAAATATGCAATAGCTATAGAGATGATCCCAGGGATCCCAGGCACGTAGTGTTCTTACACTCTGGGTTCCTTACCTCCACTAAACCCTAACGAGGAGCAATTTTTTCCCATGAATGATCTCCGTACAATCTGGACGTTGGAGGAAAAGGCAAATTCCTCATTGGTTCTCAGGTCACAAGTGCATGATTTTTAAAATAACAGATCAGCTTAGAAAAAGAAAGGAATGGCAGGCATCTATAGCACTTATTAACTTAATCGTGTAATTGACTGTATGTGTGTGGTGTGTGTGAGAGGGAGGGAGAGAGAGGAGAGCCCCTTCAATACATCTGTATTAAAGACTAAAGATTAGAAACGTATTTTTAAACTTAATGACTAATGGCTTCCACGAGAGACTCTCTTCTCAGCAGGACCCTTCTCCAGGCCACATATACTTATTTTTAATCTCTCTTGGAAAAGAAACCGAAAATTGGGTTATATTGGTTTAACAGAAAGGAAGATTATTTCCTGAGGAAATATAGGATATTTTCCCCCACTTATTTATTAGCCTGATCAAAAGCTCAGACCACAATTAAAATTCACAAGGTTACCTTAGGCAGTGGGTAATAGATGTATTCTGCTCCACATCAACAGAAAGATCAAGAAAATCTTCATCTTTGCTACTAACCTGAAGCAAAAAAAGGAAAAAAAAAGTCTTAGGCACAAAATACACACTAGACATAGCATCTCGAACGCTTACAGGTAACCAAAAACCGTAACTGCAGTAAAAATGGTATGTTGCTTTGGATAGTCACTGGCAACCAGAATTACCTTGAAAACAACCAATGTACAGAAAAGCTCAAAGCTTCAATTTAATCCTATCTCTATCCCAGCTTTGATTCGGAACTTTTAATAATTAAAACTCAACCAGATTTTTCTCCCTTTCCATTCATTTCCTCCACTGTTCCAAAATCAGAGGTATCAGCCAGATGTCCAAACAGCTCAGACTGACAGAATGAAAAAAAAAAAAAAATGGAGAAAGGACAAGAGACTTAGAAAGCCTACTGCTCTGGGGATCACTCCTTCATTAGGTTGCCTGCACTTTCTGCCAGTCCCTTGAAATCACTCCCTTCCCCTTGTGCCTGGGCACTCAAACCGCCGGGAGCCTAATGCATGACCGGTAGGAGTCCCACTAGCTACACGTGCAGCTGTCCTTGATATAAGACGTGGTCATCACCTGCAGGACCCCGTGCTAGCTGTGACGACTGGACCTGGAGCCCTGACTCTCCCCTCGCCACACTGCGGACGCTCTCGGCAGGCTGGTTCCCTGGCCCGGGCTATTCCTCGGCCCTCCACAGCTCACGTGCACCAATGCGGGCGTCCTACTGACTGATGTTCACCAAGTAAGTGTTTATATTCCAGCAGTTCTCCAGCAAGCCTAGCATTTTACTGTCTTGGAGTGGGAGGGGCAAATTATTCCTGCAACAACCTTGAGGTGCTCAGTCAATTGGCAGCAAAATGAAAATAATACTCCTTTAAGCGTGACAATTACCCTACGACCCAAGACGCCACTGCTAGGGAATTACCTAAAGAAATAGTCAGAGACATAAATACAGTCTTTTATGTATTGAGACGGACTGCCCAGCTCCATATCCTATCTCTGCCCCGTATTAAAGTGGGTGACTTATGGCCAGTTGCTTAAGCCTCTCTGTACCTCAGTTTCCTCATCTGTAAAGTGAGGTCAGTACAAGTATCTATTTCATAAGGTTGTTTTAAAGGTGATATAAATAATACATGTAAAGTGCTTTAGGAAGTAAGCACTCAACAAATCACAGAGGGGTAGAAAATTTTAAACGGCATAAGATGGTCAAAAAGTTGAAAACAATTTACACTACATTATGGGTATCATATTAAATGAAAAAGGTGGCTATACAGTTATGTAAATTAATTCCAATTTTGTATTAAAAAAGGCCTATATACAGCGGTGGGCAAAGTAGGTTTACAATGGTGAGTATGGAAAACACAGGTTTTATTCTTATATTATTTATTAATTATTGTATCATTTTCCATATGAGCAACTATAATGCTACTTTCGCCCACCCTGTATATTTATACACGCGCACACACACACACACACACACCCTTGTCGCTATCACCCTAATTTAATTTTTACGGCACCTATGACTGCTATGGGAGAGTGCATGAGAGGCCCCAAATCCTCACCACTGCTTGTAGCAGCGTCTCTGCCACATGGCTTTACAGATCTTCTTATCAAGAGGTACGTTTCCCCCGCCCCTGATTCTGAGTTCAGCCACGTGGCGCACTTTGGCCAGTGGAATGCTAGAAGATATGGTATAAGCAGGGGCTTGAATAAGCACTTGTGAAATGGCTCTCTTGCCCTTCTGTCATCACCATGAGAAGGGCTGGCCCAGGCTAGCCCACTGTTCCCAGCAAGAAGACGAGACCCATGGAGCAGAGCTGTTCTCACGGAGGTACCCAGCCAAGCTCAGCCTACAGCCAAGCCCCAGCTGGCCTGCAGACTCACGGGTGAGCCAGATGAAATACCAACACACAAGTTCAGCCAAGTCCATAGCTGCATGAATGATAACAATAAATCAGAGCTGATTTAGGTCTAAGGCTTTTGGGGTGGTTTTCAACCCAGCAACTGATAACCAGTACGACTACAGCAGGTCCTTGAATAACGTGGTTTCATTCAACGTCATTTCATTATAACAGTGATGAGATGCCATAGGAACTTAACTCTTGTTTATATCAATTAGCCGATGGTAAAACTGGTTCCATTATACATTACGTTGCTAAAGTCGCAGAGAGTATAGATGACGTTAAGGGAGAACTTACTGTATTTAACATTATAAATATGTCATTTTCATGTCTGTTGTCTGTTTCCCCCAGACTAAAATCAAAGTTCAGAAGACTGGCTTCAGTAATGACTAAGATCCTGGGATTCCAACTCTCCTCCAGAAAACTAAAAACTCAGGTAACTATAAACTAAATGTAGCTACCTGGGAGCACTGGAGAGGCAACACAAACAGGCAGACGGGGAGTCCACACTTGAAGAGGTTGCACAGAACGAGGTCATGTTTTCACAGCCTTTAGCTAGTGGCGGGGTGCAGTCTTTCTGGTCTAGGAGACAGAAAACTGGATCTGGGAAACTGGATCTGGGAAACTGGATCTGGGAAACCATGTCCGCCGGACTGAAAGTCAAGAATCTAAAAGGTATCCTCAACTCTGCCTGCCCGCCCACATCTCTGGCTGACCCTGAGCGGCACATATCCAGAGTACAATCACACGACTGGGCTAGAGACAAAAGGCCTGACCTGATTCAAGCTGCTGCCTAAGAAGCAGAGGATGCAGTTTGAGTCCAACCAAGATAACTGCCTGCTGAAACTAAAAAAATTCAATACTCATTGAAGGAAAATAACAGAACCCAGAATTTCAAACTTAACATTCTCAGTGTCCTAGACACAATCCAAATTTACAATATGTGAGAACCAGGAAAATGGAAGACATTTCTAAAATAAAACAACTAAGGCCAATCCTAGGATGACCCAGATGTTGCAACTGGAAAACAAGAATTTTAAAGAAGCTATTATAACTATCTTCAGTAAAGTGAAATATACTCCCAATGACCCAAAAAAGAAATCTCAGCAGAGAAATAGAAACAACATGAAAAAAGGAAAATCAAATGGAAATTACAAAACTGAAAAATTAATACACTGGATGAACTGAACAGCAAACTGGTAATGAGAGGAAAGAGCAAGTGGACTTGAAGACAAATCAATAGAAATTATCCACTGATAGAAAAAAAAAGACTTAAAAATTAACAGATACTCAGAGACCTGCTAGATAATATTATACATGTAATTAGGATCCAAGAAAGAGAGGAAAAAGAATAGGGCAGAAAACAGCTGAATATTTCCTAAATTTGGTGGAAGACATACATTTATAGATTTCAAGATACTCAACAAACACCGAGTAAAATAAATACAAAGAAGGCACATCAGAGTCAAACTGTTGAAAGCCAGAAGGAAAAAGCAAATCGTAAAGACATCTAGAAAAAACCAACCCATTACAGAATGACTCAGTGGGAAGCTGATCTCTCATCAGGAACCATGGAGGCCACAAGACAGCTGAACAATTTCTTTAATGTGCTAAAAGAAAAAACTATCCATGCAGAATTGTAATATCCCATGAATATATCCTTCAAGAACGAAAGGGAAACGAAGAGGGTTCGTTATTAACAGAACTGTGTTACACGAAAGGTTAAAGCAAGTTCTGCAAGCTGAAGAGAAATGACACCAGATAGAAATCCAGATCCTCAAGAACGACAGAGGAGCATCCGGAATGGAAACGACGACATTGTCCTGTGGGGGTTACGACAAAGGGAAAAGTAATACATACGACAGCTGTAGCATCAAGGACAAGGGAGGGTGGGGACAGAGGGGACATGCACCCGGACAATTATGAGCTCTCTGTTTTATGTGAAATATTATTATTAAATGTAAAAAGTGAAGCGTGTATATTGTAAGCTCAAGAGCAACCATGAAAAAGACAACATAAATATTCAAAAAATATTTTTAAGAGGCAGAGAAGGAAAAACAGAGGGGAAATAAACAGCCAACAAATAATAAAATGGGAGCCCAAACACTACCACAGCAGTATTTATATTAAACATGAATACAATAAACATCACAGCTAAGAGAGAGACAATGCAGAATGGATTTTTTTTTTAAAACAAAGCAAGACCAGTTATATCCTGTCCATAAAAGCTAAACTTTAAATGTGAAGACACAGATAGGTTGAAAGTAAATAGATGGAAAAAGATATACTATGCAAAGAGTTAACATAAGTTGTAGAGGGCTCTATTAGTATCAGATAAAATATGTTTTATAAAAAATTATTGTAAGAAATAAAAAAGGACACTTCCTAATAATTGGGTCAATTTACTAAAAAAAACATAGTAAAAAAATACAGAAGCCCTTCTTGACAGAGTCTCAAAAATACATGAAGCTGGAACACTATTCACCAATAAAAACGAATCAACCATATGCTATAATTCAAATGAACCTCAAAAATGTTGTGTAAGTAAAAAATCAGACACAAAAGACCACATGTTGCATGATTCCATTTATATGAAATGTCCAGAAAAGGCAAATATCTAAAGACAGAAAGCACCTTAGTGGTGGCCTGGGGCTTGCAACAGAGATTAACTGCCGGATACGAGGGATCTTACCGGTGTGATGGAGATGTTTTAGAACTGGACTATGATGATAGTTACACAATAGTAACAAATTACTTTTTTTAAAAAAGCAATGCATGAATTCATGGTATATAAGTTATACCTTAAAGTTGTTTTTAAGAGTAAAGAATTCATGAAGCAAAAACTGACAGAATTAGAGGGAGAAATAATACAATTCCACAATCAGAGTTAGATATTTTAACACCCCCTTCTCAGCAACTGAATGAAAAACTGGGGGTGGGAGTTAAAAAAACACAGAATATCCGAATAACTCTGTCAGCCACCATGACCTACTGACAATTATAGAATACTATGTCCAACAACTGCAAAATATACATTCTTTTCAACTCAGTGGTCCTCAGCAAGGGAAACAGCATTCCAGGGGCTATCTGGCAATGTTGGGAGACATTTTTGTTGTCACATCTTGG